AACAATATTTCCATCAATATTAAAATAACAAATGAGGCTGCGCTTGTTCAGTTTTGTTTTGTTTTGTTTTGTTTTTTTAGCTGAGCCATCCTGCTACCTGTTGGCAGCTCAGCGGCTGCTCAGCTCGGACTTGACTCGAACCGCTGTTGCTCAGAGCTCAAACTCTTGAGTGAGCTCTTAACCAACTGAGCCACTCGGCCGGCCTGTGCTTGTTCAGTTTTAATGTGCATAGGAATCCACTGGACATCTTGTAAAAATGCAGATTCTGATTCCATTGCTCTGGGGCAGCGGTTCTCAACCTGTGGGGTCGCAACCCCTTTGGGGGTCGAAGGACCCTTTCACAGGGGTCGCCTAAGACTATCGGAAAACAAAAAGATATTTACATTACGATTCATAACAGTAGCAAAATTACAGTTATAGAGTAGCAACAAAAACAATTTTATGGTTGGGGGTAACCACAACATGAGGAACTGTATTAAGGGGTCGCGGCATTAGAAAGGTTGAGAACCGCTGCTCTGGGGTAAGAGGGTCCTACATTTCTAACAGGCTCCCAGGCGATGCTGATGGTGCTGATCTGAGGGCCACACTCTGTGCAGGCAGGTTAGAGGTGGTTTGACTCAAAGGAAAAAATTAACTGGGAGGTAGAAAGTAAAATAAAATGACATGTAGAAGGCTAGGAGAATGGCCAGCAATGGGGAGTGCCCCATAATCAGTAGTAGTATTGTTGCTAGGAAGGCATTATAGGAATGCCATGGATTGCACAATAAATATATTACTCAAATATGTTATACATATGTGTGTGTGTGTATATATACACACACATATATATAAATCACATTTTTTCTTATTTAACTGCATTTAGAGAGCATCTTATTGAAAGAAATCCCACCAATACTTCTAAGAATAATTGCCTAATTTATTGATATAGTTTATTTATTGTTTAGAATGAAAACTACATTCTGGCCGGAAAAAATTCAGTCAACTCAGAAACCTATACATCTAAAAGGGAAAATTCTCCACCTCAACCTTCTACTTCTAAGCCCCAGGATTAATAACTTAAGAATTTGGTGTGATACTTTCCAATGTTTTTCTATTCTCATAGATACATATACAAGGTTTTTCCTCAGAAAAATTGATTCATATTTCACCACTATAAAACAACTTTCCTTTTCCTCAAAAATATATCATGGGTATCCTTCTATGTTAATACACAGAAATTCATCTCATTCTTCTCAGCGAGTGCACAGTATTCCAACATTATTTGCCCATTATGTAACTTATTTGCCATTCCCTTTTGCTGTTTTTAGGTTGTCTCCTATTATTAGTTATTAAAATTGATATCATGATGAATTTTCTTATACGTCTTTATATAGTTGTGTGACTATACAGAGGGTGCCAAAAAAATGTATACACATTTTAAGGAAAGACACTATTAAAACTGTAACCGTAATAATATATACCGATAACCAAAGATGAATACAAGTCATGTGTATACATGTTTTTGGCGCCCCCAGTCTCTGTAATGTGGCTTTTAGGAGTGAACCTGTTGTTCAGATACGTACCATCTAACTGTAGAGAATCACCAAACTGCCTTTCAGAGACTCCCACCACTGGTCCGTGAGCCAGCCCCCGTATGCTCATATTGTACATTTTTTCTTCTCTGTATTTGCTCATTTCTCTAAAATAAACCTGTAGTGCTTCGGCAAAAAGGAAAACTTGTCTTAGTGAAGAATGCCATAATGTGTGATTATCAGCGTCCATTCCGACCCCTCCTCCTAAAATGCCTTCCTTTGCTGGAGACACTGGAAAGCTAAAATCTGACTTCCCAAATTCTTGTGCAGAAAAGCTAATATAAGGTTTGAAAGTCAAGAATCAGGCCGAAGCCATCTACTGGGGGCTTCAGCTACCCTGCGTGGCACTCCAAGCTGTGAAGGGGTTGACTGTGCAGTCCAGTGGAGTCCCAGGTGCCAAGAGAGTTGGGACAGGCTCACTCTAGGACACGACTGCAGCCTGTTTTAAAATCAATCATTCCAATGGTGGACTCCATGACTCTGTGTCGCAGAGCAGTGTCCCTGCTGGACCAGTACTGTTGCCTTTTGTTGGGTCACTTCTGGGGATCTAAACTTGAGCTCACGCCTGCAAACCTTCCGATGACCTTGTAAGGAGCTAAGTAGTTTGAAAATGCCCATTAGTCCCTATTCCTCTTAAAGTAGCTAGAGGTTTGTTTCCTGTAAGTCGCCAACGATAGAAAAACAATACATTGCATTATCATCAACTTTAAAAATAATTTATAGGGCCGGCCGAGTGGCGCGATGGTTAAGAACTCGCTTGGGATGCCAGAGGGCCCCGGTTCGGATCCCACATATGAGGGCCAGTGACACTGCCCTCCACAGCTAAAATGCTGAACAACAGCTCAACCTGGAGCTGGGCTGCCGTGAGTCGCTGGCGACGGCATAGGCTGCAGTCCCTGTGGCAGTGGGTTGCCATGGGTACCGTATGTAGCCAGCAGCCAACGTGAGCGGCCAGCAGCCGCAGTGAGCGGCCGTCCAGAAGCCGGCGACTGATCTGCCTCGCCAGGGAAGAGCGCAATGATGGTGCCAACTTGGGCCAGTGAAGCAACGCCCTCCACAACTAGACTGAAAAACAAAACGACAGCAACTTGTCTGTTCCCATCCCCCCAATTCCCCAATAAAAATCTAAAAATAATAATAATAATAATAATTTATACTACATAAATCCACTTCAGAATGCGGGGAGGACATGCAGGACTAATAAAGATGTGTGTAAACTTACCGGAAAAGGATCACTGAATATACGGAAATGTTAACGTAGTCCTTCCTGGTGATAGATATATGAGTGATTTAAATTAAATTTTATTTCTGCTTATTCTTCCTGAAATTTAAGGGAAAACCTTAAAAGCCATTTGTTTTCCTCAAAAGCAACAAAATCCTACAGAAAAAAATAATTCCTGAATGGATCTTGACATGTAGGCAAGTAACAGGATTAACGAAAAGTATTACTCTGAGTGTTATGTCTCAGGGTCTGAATAGGGGCGCAAGTCCCCCAAGTTCATGATCTTGGAACAAATATTTGTGTATTCTAGTGGCATAGTTGAGCTGACAGCTTGTTGCTGGAAAAGGGCAGCTGTCTGGGGAACTAAGTACATGCGGTGAGACAAGCCAGTGCCGCAGCTGTTGGCAAGCTCTCTGTTTATAGTAATAGAAGTATATCCCTTAGAATTGGCTATTTGAAAAGGCATAAAACAGAATGGAAGGGCCTTTGCCTGCCCAACCAACCATTAAATGAGAATTTAGAAAAGGGGAAAAGTGAAATGAGCCAAGGAGACTTTCTTTTAAATACTCCTTTTTTTTTTAATTTTCCACATAATTAACATTTATACATCTATTTCTCGATTGGTCTTTATTCCTCCATTCTCTCTACCCACCATGAGTGAGGGCCCACACAAGGACAATTCATGCTTCTTTATTCACCGGCAGAAAGTATCACGAAGGGTCACAATGCATTTGCAATCATCCAAGAAGATAACCATTCTTAAGCTATGGGAATTCTTATCAAGGAATTTTATTAGACTAGTAAGAAAAAAATCCTTACACCTACTGACACTTTAGTTTTATACAGCTATTTTTAAATGTTATATAATGCTAGTTACTCTTGTTAAAAGCATCTTTCAATGTCGTTTTAAATTTTGATGAACACTAAGTTTGGATCTTATGTTTATTGCCTTCTGTGACCTAAGAAACGTCCAGCTACCGTTAAGTCACAAAGATACTCACCCATGTTTTCCCATAAAAAGCTTTAGTTATCACATTTAGGTCTATGATCCATCTCAAATTCATTTTGGTGAGGTAGGGGGGTCATGATTCATTTTTTTCTCATACATATGCTTCTGTTTTGGTGCCATTTGTTGAAAAGACTTTCTCTGTTGGATTGCTTTGCTTTGTCAAAAATCAACCACAGAAATGTGTATTTGTTTTTATGCTCTCTTTTCTACTGCACTGACATCTGCCAGTATCACACTGTCTTGATTGCTGGATACCCCTTACTACACTACTCCCTGTATTGCTTTTAAAAATTTAAGCCTCTATAAAAGTTGAAATAAATGAACGGGATCAAAATGAACCTAAAATAATTCTTACGAAACCATTTTTAAAAATTGTGTCATGGCTTTGAAGACACTCCATAGTTATCATCATAAGCATAACAAGATATACTTACCCAAAAACAAATGAAAAACTACAAATTTTTCTTTATTACCTTCAACTGAAATTATACATGAAAAATATTTAATTTTTCTATTCGATTTCCCACCAGGTTTTCTGACATTATTTAATAATACCACAATGTAGTAAGCGTCAAGACAATCCTTAAAAAAATTCATGTGTTTGAAGCTAGATAGGTACACAGTCTCGCTACTTTTGAACTTCTCTGTAATACAATTTTAAAAAGTCATGTACCCATTTCAGAAATGTGCCTTTAAAAAAAAAGGTAATTATTTCTTTTATAAAAAGTTTTATAAAATTTCCTTTAAATTTAACTTGGAAAAAAAGATTAGGTGCAAAAATACAATATTATTTTTATAAAATAAAAAACAAGGGTGGGCGACATAAAAACAAAAACAAAAACAAACAAAACAAAAAAAGCAATTCTCAAAAGCAATGAAAAAAAACCCATCGTGGGAAACCTGTAGATGGCTCTTAGAAACTACTGGACGGGACACATTTTGTTCAAATCGGGGTGTAAAGATCCTCCACCAGCACCATCATCCTTTTTTAATAAAGCAGATAACCCTGAATTGTAAAACATCTCATTTTTTAGAAAGATGCAGCTTAACAGCTTGAAAAAATGAGAGTAACCAGAGTAACACCAAAAATCTTTTAAGATTTATAATGTGCTCTTCACCTGAAATTTTGCTTTGAAAATAATACATCTTCCTGAAACAATTCTACAACACATAAATAAATAACCCCAAACACTTCAAGAAAGTTTGTGAAAATAAAATTGGGATGTTTATTACTTTTTTTACTGGCAGCAGTGAAAATCACTAGAAACTGTACTTTTGTCCTTTTCAAATGATTTTCATTAAAACCATACTGTTTCAAATAATTGGTATGGGAGATAAAATTCACTTTTAAAACCCTCAAAATATTTAGGTATGAAACACAGAAATACTGATTTTTTTCATTAGATCATGATGAAAAGAAACGAGATCCAATTTAATCGAGAACTGACGTTTATAAATTTTAAGCATTTAACTGAGCTACGAGATCGAAAGATTAATTGTAACAGTTACAGATAGAGAATATCATTTGTGCATTTTCTAGGTTCATTACGGTACTTCTACATCCAGAGAACCAAGAGAAGTCCTCAGGTCCAATGTCACACAATGGCATTTGGGCAGGCACTCTTAGCATCCTTTTATTTAATAGGCACTACATGCACATGACGCAGTAGGGAAGGTGGATGAGTCCATGCATTACAGACAAGACAGACGGGTACTGCTGCCAAACGTGCAGAGTCGAGAGGGTGTTGCTCAAAAGTTCTTCATACTTAACGTTTCCATGAAAATAAGTGCAGAAGTGGAAATGTGAACACATCCCAAAGCATCTTCTTCATTTGGTTTCCTGTGCCTTCTTTGCATTCTGTTTTTCTTTTGCCTAGAAATTAAAAATAGTATGCTATAAAATCTTAAAAGTCTTTTACATCACATCATAATAAAATGTAAGAGGGCATTCTTAAGCCAAAAGGCTTGAAATGCATCATTTATAAGATTTCTAGAGCTTGCAACAGACTACTCCTGGACAATTACGAGTACAGTTACACTTTGTCCTCCACAAGAAAGGATCATGTCTGGTTTGTAGTTGAAATCTTATCTGAAGTTGAAACGTGTTATTATAAAATAATTATTTTAAAATACACAATTCTTCATTCCATAAAATCATACTCATTCAGATTTCAAAACAATATATTTACATGTGCCCACTTCTCATTCAAATTGAGTGTAAGAAAAATCCTATATTAGTTTCTGCATATTTGAATAAGTGAGTTTAATAGTTCAATGAGTTTAACCTAATATCACAGTACTACCATTCTTTATTTATCATTTTCCCAACTGTATCATGAGTTGCTTCAGAGAGAAGATATGCCTGATTCACGCGGACAGCCACAGACTTTCAGAGTGCCTGGAATATGGCTGTGGCTAGATAAACGACAAATAATTTAAACATTTCAAAAATTTTAATCAAATAATCTGAATTCCCTTCAGAATCTAAGGAGATGACAAATATTGCATATATATAAGAAATAAACATTTCTCAATATTAAATGTGCATTATTTAACAATCAAGGAACACTCTGGAGAAATAGAAGCTAGAAGTGAGCAACTTCCCCTTCCATAGAGCAGACGCCAACACGAGGACAGACTTTTGGGCGTCCCACTAACGCTGGGCGTTCAGACACTGCCACCCTGTGTTCAAAATAATGCGAGCTAAGGAAGCACAGTTCTAATACACAAGCTGAAGCTGTTGTTGTCTAGGCTTTTTTCAAAGTCTGGGGATAGACTGTCATTAAAATCCAACAAGAATTGTCTTTTTCCTAATTTGCAAAAACAAAAAAATTCACAGACCAATTTTAAAGCAAAATATGTACATATATTTAAAATTTCTCTAATAACATTTGTCTGGTTCCTAATATTTATCTTTACTTAAAATCTAATATAACATATGATTTAGCACAACAGTCCACATTATTATTATTTTGTTTACTGTTTTTAGGTCAGAAATATGCCGTAGTGTTTTATACAAAGAACACACAATAGCTAGGTCCTCTGTTAACTGAGCATTTCTGAGGATCACAAGACCCGAACTGTTAATCTAAAATTTTAAGAATCAGTCTCCTATCTTGGATTTTTTAATTTTTTAATGCCCTAAGATACATGAATAGAAAAACCTACCTACATGGAAAAGAAAAGATTTAGCAGTGTAGTGCAATAATTTTTGTACAATTAATAGTAACAATTGTAGCACACATTTCAGGATCCAGGTAATAAGGTATACACGAAACGTTAACTCACATCTCATATTGAGTTTATGATGATATGAAACAGCTGGGTTGAAGTGTATCTTTGCTTCATAAACTTTAAAATTAATAAGAAAATATACCTACCATGTATTCTGGTCTTTAAGTTAATGGTCCAAAATTTTGTTTGCCTAGTAGAGTCCTCTCAAAGTGTTTCTCAAAATGGGGTATACAGACCAGCTGCATTAGAACCACGGGGGTTGGGGGGGGCTTATTAAATATTCCTTCCCCCATGTCAGAATCTCTGGGGAGGGGCCAAGTAGAATGTATTTTAAAGAGAATCCAGCGATGGTCACTTCCAGAAACACTGATTTACAGTATAACCTTAAAAACAATATAAATGCATTTCCCTCATCCAACAATGATCTTAAGTGCCCCATGTCAAAGGAAAACTATCTTAGAATTTTTCACTAACCTACGGTTTTCCCTCAGTAGAAAGAATTCTAGCTTAGCAATAAGAAAACCTATTTCTTACTCTTGGCTACATTTTTTTCTCCCTTCAATGTCCACCTAGTTCTAAATTCTATGATAATTCAAATTTTTGTTTAATAAGAAAAAATATCTATTATTTGAATTTTTAACATTAAAATTTGTGTTCACAGAAAGGAAAACGTTTTCAATGTTATTCTAACAGAGCACAGCCTGAGTTGTGACACGGGATCCTTGAAGGCTAAGGCAGTATCAGGCTGAACTATTATAACATTCATCTAGAATATGGAACAACAGGGGAAAAGCAAACACATAAAAATAAAAAAGCCTCAACAAAGTTTACTTCGACTCAAGCCAAAAAACAGTTTCTTTAGGGGGCCTCTAAATCCAAGTTAAGTCTTCACCAGGAAAGGCCTTACCTTTTCTACCAGGGGTATTAGCTGCTGGTGTTCTGCTAACGTCTTTAGTAACTCCATGATGAAGGGCAGGTAATTGTGCTTCCTTCTGATATTTTCAATCTGAAAGGAAAGCAAATATCAAACCACACTAACTTTACATTTCCACTAAGTTCCTGACATTTTAATTTTGCATCCAACTCAAAACAGAAATGGGAGAAAACCCCCATTCTCAAAAGAAAAAAATAAAAGAAATAATGAGATTCGGTTCCTACTGAGAATAAAGACTAGTACAATAAAACATGTGGAGAGTGTCTTGGGTGTGGTTTCCTACTCTGGGCTCAGCAAATAACGGACTTTTCAAAGTCTAGTCGACGATCAATTATGAAAACTGAACTTGCTTAGGGAAGTGAATTGAAAGCCCACAGGATAAATCCACAATTTCGCTACTTACTTGAGCAATAATCAGGACAAGCCTAATAGACCAGCTTTATTTTGTGATCAAGGATCTCTTTGTTTAAATTTTTTTTTATCATAAGGGGGTAGACTGTGGAGGGGAAATGTGTTCTAATGGCAAACGGTGCGTTATCTAGAGCTCACCCTCCCAAGTCACAGGATTCCAGCCTTTCACTGGCACTGAGCTAGTAAATGTTCCATCCGGCAGACGTCCCGTCTCCCATACAGAAAAGCAGTTTCCGTGTTTTGTAAATTCATTTCCGTGTGTCTTCACTTCATATCAATTCGAGCTGCTCTGATTTGTCATTTGAACTAGTTGTGACATCTTCCAGATTCGTTCAATTAATGAGTGAACAAAATCTTAAAACATGTTTATTTTATATCAGCATGAGGGTCATTTTATCCTTTTTTTGGAACAAACATTCTCAAACAATGTACCAGGTAAAGATTCTGCAAACCTAGTTTGCGTTTTATTTTAGGCAAATATTAAAAATTAGTTAATTATGTAATAACCCTGCATGAGCGCGTATAAAATGACAGGTAGTTATTTTTTTATATCCCATAAAATGGAAGATAAACATTCAGACTTTCATCCCTTACTTTCTTGTCTCCATGAACCTGGCTCCCTTCTCCCTGCCTGGGATACTCTGGAGCCAGCCCCTGCCACTTCACCTGCAGGAATCCCGCTAGTCCAGGGTCCATTATTTTACTTAACAGTCATTGGTTGGCTGTTAAGTGGGATGCAAAGCACTGTGCTGACACTGTAGTGAGTAATGAAAAGAAAAAGGACACCCTTGCCTTCAACTGAGCTTCAAATAAATTACAATGCTTTTTCTGCACACATGACAGATGACATAAGTACCATTTCCCAAGTCGTACAAATTTCAAAGTTCCCTTCACTCTTTTCGCTCTCTCTGAGGAAAGCTTATCAGAGACAGATCGCAAGTGAAGAATGACTTTATTAAAGATAGCCTTGCTTGATATTTGACTCTGAATTATATAAATGTTTGACATAATAAAAAAAAATTTTTAAGCCTAAATAATTGGAAAGCAAAATTAAACAAATAAACTCATTTGTGTATTAAATTGATAATAGAACTGCACCAAGAGAAATTTTTGAAGTGAATTTAAAAATGTAGTAATTAGTTCATTTAAAATGGGATATATCCTAAGTAAAAAATTAACTTAAGAAAAAACCTTTCAGGTTTTATTAACAATACTGGTATTGTTATTCTGAACCTTTTTTATACACACACACACACACACACACACACACACGTGCACATGCATTCTACATACAGCATGAAGCATACACATATTAATTATACATACATGTGCTATACCTATGTAGCATAAAGCAATTAAGTAATTATGTTACTATTTTTAGGAACCAGTATTTTCAGCTTAAGAGAAAAGATGCAAAAGCTCAACTTCAAGTATAAAGCCCCTTAACCTAAAATTAAGCATTACTATGAATTGACATTGGATTTTCTCTTCAAAAATAAAACAAGAAACAGACAAAAACGTATTTCTTGGCTCTGAAAGGCCTGGGAATGATGACTACTCGGTACCACTGAGCATCCGGGGCTCACCACTTCCCACCAGCAAGACTCAGGCTCCTGGAAAAAATGGCTGATTCTGAGTCTGAAGCAGGAAATGTACACACGGGGTCCGAAACATCTCGTCATCGAGAAAGCAAGGAAGCACCAGCGATGCAGAGTCCTGTTCAAAGGACTCAAGAGGTGGCTTCAAGCGCCTCCTAATGGCCAAAGGAGGCATCACTGCAGCATCGACAACTGCAGTGAACGCCAACAAAATGAGAACGACACCTCACTAGTTACCTTTGTAGGGTGCCAGAGAATCCACTCATTATTCTGAAAGCTGGTAAATAATGGGAGGAAAACAATCAAGAATTCAGCAGACCTTCGTGTCAAAACAGATCCCTCTACACTAAAACATTAAAGGGACAAATAAAAAAAATACCTTGTATCTTTTTAATTTCTGTACTTCCTCTTCAATAAGCATCTGGTTTTTGGCAACCTCTGACTGAATAGCACTTAACATGCTACCCTGATCTGTATCCATGGGTTCCTCCTTAGGGGAAAGAAAAAAAATAGCACACCCTAGTAACTGAGATTTAAGTCAAGGATATTTTAAAATAATAAACACAGTACAATTCTTTTCAAATTTTACTCTTAATATGGTGACAAACACCAGCCTAATAACTGTAATGTTAAAGGATAAAAGCCCTAAGTAGTACTTTCCATATTTCTATGTTCTCCAGTAATACATGTTTACCTAAAAACAATGTACAGTATATTGCTATAATCTTTGGTTCAGCTGTAAAATAAGTTTGCTTAAATATACTCTTAAGAAAATGTGACCAAAGAAATGTAAAAAAGGTGTTTGGGTCTATTGCTATTTCTCTTCTCTAATCATATTTACTACAGAAAGATAATCAGTCATTAAGACTAGTACGGAGTATATGTGAATCTGAATGTTCCCAATTGACTCTGTGAGAAATATATTCTAACTTGCTTCATTATACAATGAAATTACAGTAAATAGTTAATTGCTAACACTTATTTAGCATGTACTATTTGTCACTGTTTAAAATGGTTTACATATATTATATCACTTAATCCTCACAACAACCTTATAAGGTAAACACTATTATACTCATTTCACATGAAGAAACTGAGGCACAAAGAAATATACTCAAATTCACACATCCACTAAGTGGGAAAGCCACGAGCCGAATCTGGGCAGCCTGGCTCCAGGATATAGTCTCTTGACTCTCAGAACACGAGATTAAATCTACATTTTACAAAAAGGAAGGAAGGGAAGGAAGGAGGGAAAGAAAAGCAAATACTTTCCCTCAGAGAATAACTAAGAACTCTGCATTAAAAACATGGCCACGAACCTCAGCAAGCTGTCTTTGTAATTCTGCTATCTTCTGTTCATATATCATTTTTCTGTCAGACACTATGGCCATTAAGTTAAATCGGATTTCACCTTCACTGTACCTAAAAAAAACAATGAAGTTTGTAATGTAATAAAGAACTGTAAGACTATTACAATTAAGGTAATCTATTGTGATTACTCATGATTCTCTGGGAGAACAAAGTAAATGGAGAGAGACACCGTAGAGCATGGGTTGGAAGACTCAGCATAGTACAATGCCAGTTCTCCTCAAACTGATGTAAATATTTCACACAATTCCTATCAAACCCCAGCAAGAATTTTTGTAGCTATAGACATTATAGTAAAATTTATATGGGAAGGCAGAGGAACTATGATAGCTAAAACAACTTTTTTTAGACCTTAGACCTCTTTATTGTCTTTGGATCAATTTCTTGTGCGAGTTTTCATCAGATACTTTACACCACGTCATAATAGCTAAAACTATTTTGAAGCAAATAACCTGGCTGAGACACTGTTACCACTGCAGGGTAAGGGGTACACGGGACCTCTCTGCATTTTGTTTTATAACTGAATGTGAATATAATTATCTCAAAAAGTTTAATGTAATAACAGATGCTCAAAAACAAAGCTCTACAAAGTAACTGTACAAAATATCTAACTTAGTAGAGAGGTCTGCATAACTTCTATAAGAACAAGATGGCCTTTTACTTCATAGAATTTACAGATATCCTGAGACAGATTTCCTGAACACATTAATCCAATCAAAGGTAGATGTTCACTAAGCATTACTAAAATAAAAATGAAACACAAGTTTTTAAAAACGTTTAAGAAGGGCTGGCCGAGTGGCGCGATGGTTAAGAATTGGCTTGGGACGCCAGAGGGCCCCGGTTCAGATCCCACATATGAGGGCCAGTGACACTGCCCTCTACAGCTAAGATGCTGAACAACAGCTCAACCTGGAGCTGGTCTGCTGTGAGTCACCAGCGATGGCGTAGGCTGCAGTTCCTGTGGCAGTGGGTTGCCATGGGCTACCGTGTGTAGCCAGCAGCCAGCGTGAGTGGCCAGCAGCCGCTGTGAGCGGCCGTCCAGAAGCCGGCGACTGATCTGCCTTGCCTGGGAAGAGCGCAATGATGGTGCCAACTTGGGCCAGTGAAGCGACATCCTCCACAACTAGACTGAAGAACAAAATGACAGCAACTTGTCTGTTCCCCTTCCCCCAATTCCCCAGCACTGTTCCCATCCCCCCAATTCCCCAAAAAAAATCTTTAAAAACAAAAAAACAAAAAACGTTTAAGAAGCAGAGCGCTGCGCCAGTAAGACAAGCTGGGAACTTACTTCTGGATCCTTTTCTCAATGACTGGCCTCACCGCACCGATCCAGTCATCCTGATTGCACGCACCTAGAGAACGTAAAAGCAGGAAAACAAATACAATCAGCACTAACACTATTTCAAAAGTTTGGTCCAAAATATATTTTTAATAAATATTTTAGTTAATTCAGGATGGTAAAAGTCCTTTTAGCATTGATATGTTCAGCTTCAATTCTTATTTTCTTAGTACTAAGAAGGGAAAGCGTGCACCACCATAACTATAGAATAAAAAACTGAAATCTACACATAAGGTAAAACCAATTTTACCCAGTTGTTTTAATCATTTTTTTCACTGTAAGTTTTAGCATAGCCACCACTCATATAGTAAAACTGGCTGTTCTCCTTTCTGTCTTACTTTATATTTGATGGTTCTAATGAATGAATGGCTGACCGGACAGAAGCCAACAGAGAAAATAGAGAGATTAGATCAACCACTATACTAGACAAAATCAACTTCTACAGACCTGAGAAATATTCTATTTTCTATAACAGACATGAAAAATATACAGAGATAACATGTAAATCTGCATCAGATAAAAACCATTGGTTCTATATATGAACCATGGTCAAAAAGTATAAACAAAATGAAACTATGTTTAAATCTGAAAGTATAAAGTTTTATGAACAGCAGATAACATTCAGATAACATTAGATTCAACAAAATTAAAATAGGTTTTGTTGGACTTAAAAATGGACCTAATAGGCACCTGGCTAGCTCAGTCGGTAGAGCATGAGACTCTTAAAAATGGACCTAATAAACAAAAGAAAAAGAAAACTTAATGAGGTAAAAATAAAGGAGTTAAGATTCTTTTCTGGGCCTATTATTTCAGTATTGTGTCAGAACCACCAGTTGTACCCTCACCCTCAAAAACCATTTATCATTTTTGCTTAAGGTTAGATATGGGGTGGGATCAAGACAAAGCTAACCTTTGGCACAAAGGGCAGCACATTAGTGTGCTATTTAAATAGAAACTTTGAAGAAAAATAGTTTTGTAGATGATTAAACACTGAATTGAAGTGATTCTGAATGATCCAATTACAATGAAAATATTTTAGTACAATGTGATAAATGCTTACTATCGCTTATCAGTAGGATAAAAATGGCAGGAATAACTTAAGTTCACTAGACGAAACAGTTTTTTAAAGTCAACTGGAAAATAAAAAATAAATTATGTAATCTATGAATTAAAAATTCTTTTCTCTCAGCAAAATAGGTTCCAGTTGAACTAGTCAATACATCCTGTGGATTTCATCAAGTGCTGAAGAGCTGAAGGCCTTCATCACAATTACTACCTCGCAGCCACCTCCCCTTCCCAATCTAACTAAGCAGCCCTGCGGCTAAAGCAGAGGTGAATCCCAGTATCTTTTCCCTTCTCAAAGGTGAAAGAAATGTCAGGAACCAGAACTGGATTACCTAAATCAATCGGTCCTTCTCTTAATCCGTCTAATTCATATAGTCTTCCATTAACTGGCACATAACTGACAAAGTGAAAAGCGTCTTCTTCTTTTGCTGATGTCTTTGCATCAAATTCAAACATTTGCTGTCTACAGGGAAGGAAAAAAAAAATAGTGAGACACAAACAAGCAAAGAAAGAAACAGGGTTTACTTAAACAAAGTCTCTTTACCTGGCAAAGCTGTTGTGTACTTGTCGGATCACATCCGAATTGCTCAGTGCCAAACCTTTCATCTGAAATAATTTTTGAAAGCAGCCCGTTAAATTAAGAACTATCACAAACAGGGCATTTTAGGAATAGTAAGACTGTACTCACAGCTGCATCGAAGCTCTGTGAAAATTCTTTAAACTCTGATAAGGTCTCTCCTAAGTGGACGTCTTGATGGGTGCAGTTCAGTAGCACGCTGACTATGGCTTGAGTAGCACAAGCATTATTAATTACCTATAAAATATAACCACAGAGACATGGTTTAAAACATGCAGCTTTTAACTGGTGACCATGACCCCCAAAATATGAAAAATGTTAATAGCTTTCCCGTTTCATTTCACACAATCTTAGCCTAAACATAATAAACATGTTTAATTTCCATTCTAACGTAGTTTCAGGAATTTGCTGCGATTCTGGAACAGAATTCTACGAAACCAAATAGATTAAATAAATTCATCACATCATCAAGAAAATCCACGTAGGATAACAAGACCCATCTTTCCCGACACAAAACAAAGCTGGGCAAAGAAGAGGTTGCCTCCCCTTCTGTTCACTTCCTCCTGAACCTATTTCTACCTGTCGGAATTCAACCCGCGTTTCAGCACACACAAGCTGCAACTCACTCGCCTGTGGCTCTCTGAGAAATTACCCACCAACTCCGATGAGTTTCTACCCTCATTTGAATTCCTAAAAAGGGCTTAAACTGTCCATTTGTAGTTTCAGCTCAGTTAAAGTCTTGACAGTGCCGCCATCTAACTGTGAACTGTTTAACAGAGTATGTGGGCCTTACAATCTAGCCAGAGGAGAAAACATTTAGATCATACTTACTATGTGCCAGGTACTTTCTAGGCACTTCACATGTATTAATTCTTTTTCTCCTCTCACCAGCCTATGAAGAAGGTGTGATATTATTGTGCCCATTTTACGTTTGTGGAAACTGAGGCACTGAGGGGTTAAGTCACGGCCCACAGGTTGTCACAGAGCCAGCAGGAGGCAGGCGGTCTGGTCCTGGGCTCATGCACGTGGCTGCTGTGCCAGGCTGGTTCTGCACACACACGTGGTCTCTCCAGCACGCTTACAACCTCTTACAGACAAGGGCCTCCCACACTCCCTGCAGCACCGACAGTGCCCAGAGCACAGAGCTGGGAAGAACCTCAGGCGGTCAGAGTGAACACCAGCAAGATTAACTGTAGGGCTGAACTAAATCTGGTAAATGACTGAAAAATTATAGCTTAGGCCTATTGCTGTGTTTTGTTACTGTACTGTAATTAATACCATTTTCTAATTGGTGTCTTTCCCTAAAATGCTAATTCACCTGTGGTTTTACAATTTGGCAAGTTATCTATTTATGAACTGCCTGATTTCAGAAGAAAAGTTCTCAATCATCTCCCTTGTGAATTCCTCTACTCCTCTGCTTTTCATGTTGCCACAGGCTTGTGAATGTCCACCATTTTTAACTGCAGGTTTGAAAAACTCCTTGATGCGACTGTTTTTTCCCCTAGGAAACATTCTCTTACTCCCAATTCTCAAACAAATATGATGATACACCACACCTGTGTAATTCCTCTCTTCTAGTATTTTATACTCAAGACTATCTTATAATTGATGAATTAGGGGAAAGTAACAGATCTAGAATTCAGTTAATATTGTTGCTGTTTTCTTTTAATATGTATTTTGATCAGAATCACAGTTGTTTAGTAAAGTTGGATGAAAATTTTTAATGTTTAAAGGAGACTTCATAAAGATAGTTAACTAAAACTTTGTAAGACTGAGTGCTCCCTTATCTTGGGCCAAAACTGTCTAGGGTGAAATTATCTGGGAGATGGGTTGGGAGGTGGAGAGTTAGAAGACGTTAAAAGTCATACTCACTCACGCAATTCTTCCAAAATCACGCCACTTGAAGGCCACAGTATGTACCTAGCACTAGGCCAGATACTAAGACTGTGGCAGAGAAGACTATCGAACATTCCTATGATCGAAGGACTTCAACTCCTTAATCCATAACTTTACAACTTTAAAAAAAAGAATTAGAAAATAACTCCTTCCAAACTCATCAAATTTTACATGCACTGAGTATGTGAAGTTTGTGTGTATCCATTATATTTCAGTTAAGTTAGGTCCCTAAGTGTGCCCCGACCCCTTCCCGCCCACGCCACCTCCGCCTTGCTGGGTGGGCTCCAGTCACACTGGCTTCCCTGGGTGCACTGCGCTCGTCCTACTCCCTTTTGCCATAAGGCTGTTACTAATCTGGGATGACTTCAACCTTTCCCTCCTAATACCTACTTAGCCTCTGGATTTCAGCTGAATTGTCGCTCACTCACAGAAGCTTTCTCAGATCTCCCTGAAGAAGCCAAGTCCCATTTTTATGTGTGTAGTAAAGAATTTTACCTTGCACAGAGAGAGGTCTGGCCTTTGTCCTCAGCTCCTGGAAGGTGACCTCTAAGCTCTGGAAAAGCCACGCCTCGTAAAGTGTGGTGGAACACCTGGGGACTTTGGGTGACACACACAGTCTAACAGTGTGACCGAGAGTGGGGTTTCGGGTCATCCCCTAGGGTGGCAGGAGACTGAGGTCAGCCACGTAGGTATCAACCAGTTCTAAGTGACTGAGGGCCACTAAAAACTCTGGACACCAGGAATCAGCTGAGATTCCCCGGATGGCAGTGCTCTGTACAGTGTCGTGCGTCATTACCAGGAAAGTCAGGGCCGTCTGTGACTCTCCTGGGAGAAGATGGCAGAAAGCTCTGCCCGTGGAACCTTCCAGGACGCTGTCTCAGGTATCTCCTCCCTGGGGTGAATCCAATCTGTCCCCTTTCCCTGGGATGGACCATACTGTAACAATGACAGCTTTCGCTGAAGTCTGTGAGTTCTTCTAGCAAATTACAGGACCTGTGTGTGGTCTTGGGGGTCCATGAACTCTATAGTTGGTGTTCGAGCTGACAGTAGTCTCAGAGAATGTGGTTTTCATTTCACTCCAGGCAGCCCTTATCGCCACTGTAATTTTACGTTTCACTGATGAAAGCTAATCTCTCCCACTAAACTTTAAGCACCTATGGACAGGGATCACGACTGTGTATCATTCCCCCAGCACCAAGCACAGTATCTGGCCCATTGCAGGCACTCAGTCATTCTTTCCTGAAAGACTGATCAGATGAGTCAGACAGACCCAGCCCCACTGCAGCACGATCGTAAGTAAGAACGTCAGGCCTCAGCTTTGCCATCAGTGAAATGGGATTAGATGGCGATGCTTTGCAGACGAGCGTCACCAAACTGTCCTTCCTGGATCCTCGTACACAAACTGTAATTACTAGATGGCAATTGCTTTTCTCAGTATTTTATTAATGATCCACAGACACGCACACCTCAGATTAGAGTATTTGATCAGCATAAGACAGCCAGTATTATGACCCCTCTACACTGATGCAGTTCTTTGGGAATCTCAATAATTTTAAGAATGTACAGGGGTCCTAAGACAAAGAGTCTGAGGACTGCTACACTAAGGACACACAGGTAGATGACGGCCCCGTTTATACGAAAGGCTGCTCTCACGACTCCAGAGTTCCCGAGGACCATACCTGCTTAGCAAAAAATATCGTGTCAAGTCTAGAGTCCTGAACCACCGAGCCTGCCGGTTCTTCTCCTGGCTGCCACTTGAAAAGGAAAATTAACCCGTGAACTGGCCTACAAAGTAAAACAGAAATTAGCGACACCAAACCCTGCTTCTTTTATAACACATTGTCAATATATGAAATTTTAGTCAGCCACTTAACAAACGCAATGCAAATGAAGTAAATTCCAAGTTTTTTTTTTAAAGGTTTCTATTGCTCTTTAGACACTAGAATGTTGCCTAAGACAAGGCTAATAAAACTTAAAATTACATCAATTAAAACAGAATTATAAGGAAAGGTTTATTCTCGGATCTCTGAATTATTCACATCTAACTTGTATGACCTCACTTAAAAAAAAAGAACATAGCAGAACTAGAAGAAACTGTTAACCCCAGACTGAATTCCAATATGTATGAATAAAGCTCACCGAGGATGTTTACATATCAATGGTTGATAGCAGATGTATTATAAAAACAGGGAGTCACCTTCAGATAATTATTGGGTTCATGAACAATCGCCAAACTACAGTAGGAATGGATACTGTCACCTCATCTGTAACGAAGTCATCCACTTTCTCAAAGAACTGTCGCTGCCCGTGAGGCAGTAAATCACTGCTAGGATTCTCTGCAGCCTCCTCCACAGCTGCCTTCCTTGCAACAAACATCTTTCCTAGCCTTTAAAGATGGCTCAGGTGAGGGCCGGCTGAGTGGTGCGTTGGTTAAGAAATGGCTTGGGACGCCAGAGGGCCCCGGTTCGGATCCCACATGTGAGGGCCAGTGATACTGCCCTCCACAGCTAAGATGCTGAACAACAGCTCAACCTGGAGCTGGGCTGTCGTGAGTCGCCGGCGACGGTGTAGGCTGCAGCCCCTGTGGCAGTGGGTTGCCATGGGCTACCGTGTGTAGCCAGAAGCCGCAGTGAGCGGCCGTCCAGAAGCCGGCAACTGATCCGCCTCACCCGGGAAGAGTGCAATGATGGTGCCAACTTGTGCCAGTGAAGCAACATCCTGCACAAGTAGACTGAAGAACAAACCAACAGCAACTTGTCTGTCCCCCTTCCCCCAATTCCCCAAAGGTGCTCCCCTCCCCCAATTCCCCAATAAAATCTTAAAAAAAAAAGATGGTTCAGGTGATGTGTCTTGAATTAACCGTCCCTGATCACTTATGCAGAGCTGGTCTCTTATTCCATCTTCGCTCTTTTGGGGGAAGCAAACGACCCCCTTCTTACTGTAAAGAAGGGTAGCCATATCCCAACAGTCCCAGTTTCCCTGTTAATAGCCTCCCCTGTGTCTCCCACCAACAACTCTTCCAGCAATGAAAACTCCTCTAGCCCCACACCGGCACTACGGGGTGAGGCTGGGGACAGGGAGGCCGGGGTGAGGAGAGGCTCAGAGAGGTGACTCCAGTCAGGACGAGGAATCTGAACTGTAACCTCCCCAGAAGTGATATGATGATGTATAGACAAGTTCTGTTTCACCATTAATATACATTATCTATTAAATATGCTTTTGTAGACTGACCTCTTACTCATGTCTTGTATGTTAAAATGTGTTCCATGTTCTAATCCTATTGCTCAGTAAGTGAATGCTGTAAAAAATCAACCAGTCAGTACTTTGTTGACATGGAATTACGGGGATGTAGTTTTTAATCCCTTGCAAGTTACTTATTTACGAGTCTCAAGTTTACGGTTATAAAATGAGAATAATAATACCTATCTCACCAGGACTGAAAAAAGACTTGAAAGGATATAATGTATTCAGCCTAGGGTAATCCAAGTAAAACAGACAAAAGTTTGCTTAAGTAGAGACATTATTTTTACAACTAAAATTTTACTTACTTTAATTTTTCAAAATTCTCAGGCTCTAAACTCCATATTTCTTCTACTTGGGCTCCTCGGCAACCTGAAATAAGAAATCACTTCATCAGAAAACGAAAATACACACCTTTACCATTAAATAGTAACTAAAAGAAATGCCTATTTGAGAACAATAAGACAGGACAAATTAAAATGGTAAAAGTGGTCAAGTTCAGAACCAAATCCTATTACTTTCTTTACAATTTTCTAAGTATTTACGATGGGACTATATTGCTTTTATAGTTTTTAAGTTTCAAGAGTTTTTTTACTGAAACACCACCCCATGACTGCTCCTTATCGGTTTTTCTCAGTCTCTGGCTCTTTTCTCATCCACTGTTTTTACTCAACGGCTCTGCCCTCAGCCCTCTTTTTTTTTTTTTTTTACTGCACTTTGTTTAATCGGTAATAAGTAACTACCACTTAACAGTCACTTTTATATCACATTTACTTCTGACCCTTTTCCTAATTCCCAATTCTTTATTATTTTCAACTACCTCAGAATACCCAAACATATTCTTCCTCTAGGACACTGCTTCTCAACCAGGGTGGTTTTTGCCACTCCGCCCCCAATCCACCCCAGGGAACATTTCACAATATCTGGAGACATTTTTACTGTCACTATTGTTTCCCTGGGGGGCAGTAGGCTGTGACATCTAGTGGGTAGGGGCCGAGATACTAGGCCTGAAGCCCGAGATGCTAAACACCCTGCGTTGCAAGGGACAGCCCCCGACAACAAAGACTTATCTTATGTGGGCCAAAATGTCAACAGTGCCAAGGCTGAGACACCAGTAGGTGTCTCCAGTAGCATGTGTCACAGCAACGGTGTGCTGGTTAAGAGCGTGGCCTCCAATCTGCTGGGGTGTGAATACTGGCTCCCCCGCTTACTAGCTGCATGACCATTTAACCTGTTACCCATACTGTTCAAGTTCTTGTAAGGAATACGTGGTATAATTTATTATGCGTGAAATGTGTTTAATACAGTGCCTGGCACATTCTAAGGGTTCACTAAATGTTTGCTTTAAAAGCATTTTCTCTAATCCCGGTAAGTATTACATAAAACAGGGTTAGGGATGTTAAGTGGCTTGCCTAAATTCACTATAGCTAGTATCTGCCAAAAAACTAATTAAAACCCATGTCTGGTTCCAAAGTCTGGGCACTTGCTAATATTCCAGATTATTTTCAAGTGAGAACTATAGAAGCCTGCAGATCACCTTCAGAAACCAGTCGATAAAAAGAAAACAGTTGGGTGAACCAACTATGTGACTTTGGACTCAACTGGCTCTGGTCAGGAAGTATTTATTAAGTGCCACCCACTCTACTATTAAAGATATATGTACCAGGAGAGTTACTATTGGGTTATTGGAAAAGTTATGACGCATGTTTGCAACAGATGGCGCTAGTTCATTTTTGGAAGTACTAGTCATTCGCATCTATGTTATTGCTATGTCATTTGACAGCTGACAGTTTTAGCTTCATTATAAAAAAAATTGAGCGATTTGGTTGAGTTTTGGAGATTTTACAAGTTGAAGATGGAAGATCAAACTGTGCATTTTTGCCATATTTTACTGTTTTACTTCCACAAAGGGAAGAACGCATGTCAAGCTTGTGAAAAGTTACATAAAGTTTACAGTCACAATGCTCTACAAGAACGTCAGTGCCAATGATGGTTCATGAAATTCCATGCTGGTGATTTTGATCTCAACGATGCTCCTCAGTCAGGGAGTCCCACCGAGGTTGATGACAAAATAAAGGCATTGATGGAGTCAAACCCATGTTACACGACACGAGAGATTGCAGAAACATTGAACATCCATCATTCAAGCGTTCACGATCACCTGAAGAAGCTGGTATCAGTAAGCAATTCGATATCTGGGTTCCATATGAACTCAAAGAAGCTCATTTGACAGCGCGTATAAACAGCTGCAATATGCTCATTAAACATGAGGAAAACGATCCTTTTTTGAAGCGACTGATAACTGGTGATGAGAAGTAGATTGTTTACAACAATGTAGTCAAAAACGGTCTTGGTCCCAACGTGATGATTCGCCTCAAATGACATCAAAAGCAGACATTCATCAGAGGAAGGTTATGCTCTCAGTGTAGAGGGATTTTAAAGGTGTCATGTTTTTCGAGCTCCTACCAAGGAACCAAACAATCAATTCAAACGTGTACTGTCGGCAATTGGACAGTTTGAACAAATCCATCATCCAGAAATGTCCAGAGCTCAATAAGTGTAAAGGAGTTGTGTTCCATCACGACAACGCGAGACCACACACAAGTTTGATCACCCGTCAAAAATTATTGGAGCTTGGATGGGATGTGTTGCCACACCCACCATACTCGCCTGACCTTGCGCCGTCAGACTTCCACTTGTTTCGCTGTCTTCAAAACTCCTTGTGTGGTATAACGTTCAATTATAAGGCTGTAAATCAGCACCTTGTTCAGTTTTTCGCAAATAAAGACAGGTCCTTCTATGAACGAGGAATTAAGAAGCTCACTGAAAGGTGGCAAAAGGTTATCAAACAAAACGGGCAATATATCATTGATTGATCTTTGTTCTTTATATAAATAAATGACCTTTGAAAAACATAGAAAAAATACGTCATGACTTTTCCAACAACCCAATACATTGTTTGTAATAGAGAAGAACTAGGAACAACCTGGTATTGTTGCAAGGTTGCTAGACATTAACATATAGTAAGTTGGGGGAAAAAATCTTATAAACGTAAACCTGTACCTATGAGTGTCAGAAAGGGAACACAGGGCACTAATGCAATTGTTAACAGTGGTTACTATTGGAAATCAATTGTAAAAAGGCTAAACGTTAAAACATTGTACATATCATACCCAAAACCACAAAAATCCACTGGATAAAAGTGCCCCCGAACCTTTTTTTTTTTTTTTTTAGCTGAGCCATCCTGCCACCTGTTGGTGGCTCAGCGGCAGCTCCGCTCGGGCCAAGAATTGAACCGCTGTTGCTCAGAGCTCACTCTTGAGCGAGCTCTTAACCAACTGAGCCACTCGGCCGGCCTTCCCAAAATCTTTTTGCACAGGCAGAACTTCAAGTAGTGACACTGTTTAAATAACCTTATGTTAAACACATACTCATCTCTTTGTTCAAGGAAAACATGATACTCAACTATTAGCATTTCTCTCCTTTCAAACACTCAGTAGCTAATAATCCTATTGTGTACGTTCAATTTCAAGTAATGCATGGCATAATGGAAAGAGAAATGAGCAATAATTCAAGAGACCCGGGTTCTAACCTCAGCGCTGCCTTTAAAGTTCTTAACCTTCATGTTAAGAAAACACAAGGCTGGCCCAAGTCCTTCACATCTGCCTCAACTGGCAGGCCGGAACTGTGGTAGATGATGGGATTCTGCTAGACTTCCTCCTGGGGGCCCAGGTGGACTCTGTGCAGTCACTAACACTCCCTGCCATACCTGGGTTAATGTCTTAAACCAAGAGGAGAAAGATCAGTACAAAACTTTAAGGGAAAAGCCACCTGGCTTTTTAACGTAAACACGAGATAAATGAACGCAACCTGGTACCAGCCCTGTAGATCAGATCAATCAGACTTGCTGAAGGAATGGCATATTTTGGTGTAGAAAGAATGGGTTTCTTTGAAAGGCAGTCCTCAATGGGCTGCTCCTTTTTCTGTTTTGTCTCCCGAGAGAAATTCTCAGATTTGTTCGGAACCACCTTTTCAAGGATGTTGGTAAACAGACTTGGGAGACAGTGTCTCTCTCTGGGGCAAAGGGAAGACTTATGTCCTGCCCATAATACCACCTCCCTGGAGCCAAAGGTTAGCAGCCTTTTTACGCGTATACAATTGGGAGCTCCCCAAGTTCAGGATCCCTCAGCTATGACAGACTCGTGTGTGCGGCATCCAGCTGGGTTCCCCCCCTCCACTGCCATGACTTGGGGGACAGGGGAACCAAGACAAACGTGAATCTCCAGCCTGCTGCCTTTCGTGCCACAAGTACTACAATCCCTCATCTCTAAAGTACAAGTTGTCTGCCGGTATCCATAAAACAGTGGCGGGCGAACTTGTTAGCTGGCAAGCAGGATAAAATCTAACACTTCATAATTCTTAGCAGATGCTGGATTTAGTCAAATGCTTTTTATATCTATTGAGATATGGTTGTTCTTGGTCAATTATACCGAATCTTGACTGTTAAACCAACCCTAAATTTGAGGTGTACACCCCATTCAGTCATGACATAGTGTCCATTTAATATATCATTGGATTGAATTTGCTAAAATTTTGTTTAGAATTTTTGCATCTAGGTTGATGATAGCTATAGGTCTGCAATTTCCTTTTCTTGTAATGTTTTTGTCTTCTTTGGATATTATAATAGTGCTGGCCCTCAGAGTAAGTTGGGAAGTACTCCTCCAATTTTTTGGGAAAAGTTGTGTAGAATCGGCATTACCTATTCCTTAAATATTGTATAGATCAGTGAAGCCATTTTGGCTAGAGTTGTCTCTATGAAAAGACTTTAAATTACAATATAATTTACTTAATAAATGTAAGGCTATAATGATTATTTCTTCTTGAGTGAGCTTTGGTAATTTGTGTCTTTAAATGAATTTGTACATTTCTGCTAATTGTCAAATATGTACTGGCATATAGATGTTTAGAATATTCCCTTATTATTCTTTTAGTATCTATGGAACCTGCAGTGATAACCATCTCTCTTATTCCTGATACTGGTTGTTTGTGTCTCCTGTCCTTTTTCTGATCAGTCTGGCTAGAGATGTACCCATTTCACTGATCTTTGAGAAACCGACTTTTGGTTTCATTTTCTCCACTATTTTTCTCTTTTCTGTTTCACTGATTTCAACTGTGATCTTTATTATTTCATCTTATTTCAGGTTTAATTTGCTCTTCTTTTTCCAGTTTCTTAAAGTGAATACTGGGATCACTGATTTATTGTAGGAAAAGGAAATCCAGTCCCTTTTACTCCATCTTGACTGGAAGCAAAAATTCACAGCTTCTATTTTTAATTGGTAGACGATCACAATTTGTTTTCGTACACTCATGAATTAGGTATGCACAATACCAATTCAAAGCACTGTTCTGCTCCACCAGTTTGTTAATTTGATAAGAACTTTGCTTTTACCATGACATCACAGTCCACCAAAATTTATATTCATATACTCACTGAATCCACAAATAATTTCTCCTCCAATGAAGAAACTTTTAAAATAAATTTACAGTAGCATTCCTAATACAAAAAATGTTTCACTTTTGAAAGAATGAACTTCCAAAAGCTTTTTAAATCCATGAGTTGGATGAGAAAAATAATATGGTAATGGTTGGAATGAACTTTTCTCTCTGAAGCATGTGATGATGATATATGACTACCATCACATAACTTTCTGCAAAGTTCTTCTGCTAATGGAACCAATCCATTAATAGCTATTGCTTCACTTTCACTTGTGCAGGTGCAAAAGGTATATTTACATATCACTCTCTTATGCATGACTTTATTTAAATCATTTTCAATTCCAAGTTTTCTGCACATATGAGATTGAAGCGATACCTGTTAATGGAATAGATTCGTTTTAAAATAAACAAACTTGACTAGCACAATATTTCTAAAAGTTAACTTTAATGTCATAATGGTTAAGGTTTTGAAGGTGAATGTTATGGCTAAAGTCAATGTATGTCCAAAACAACCTATTTTCTTGTCCATCAAGCCCATTCTCTTGTGCTTCACAAGCCGCACAGGCTAGAATCCATAGAGCCATTTTCACATGTTTCCTTACATCCAGTTAGCAGCAGTCCGGTGGATTTCAAGGCAGCAAAATTACTGAATTTACCTCCTCTCTCTAACCCTTGACTTTATGTCAAGCCAATCATCTCAGACTTGAGCCATTTTAATACTTCTAGCTTCCCTCACTTCATTCCGATCCACTGTGCACACTACACATAGTAAACCTTTTTTAATTATAAAAATGTCGTTTCAGCATTCAACTATCTTTGGCCGTTCGGTCCCGTGACTACAGAGCAATCCAAACTACGCGCATACCACATGGCACACAATCCGGCCTCAGTTTAGCTTTCGGCTTCACATGCAAACAACTCCTCCAGTCTGGCACACTGCGTTTCAGTCACTTTGCTAGCTGTTCCTTAAGCCACACACTTGAACATCATGACTGCTCATTCTTGCTTCTCTGCCTGTGCCCTGCCACCGCCTGTGTTCCCCTAACAGGCTGTACATGCTTCTAACACAGCAATCAATACACCAAATTATAGTTTGTCAGTTGTTTAGCGCGCCAGCCATGGTGTACTCACAGTTAACAACTCCCGAACCGTCCCCGTGTACCTGAGATACAGCAGGGAAACAGCACACGCTTGCTAACTCCTATTCCAAACAGTCAGCTAGGTACCACAGACACTATCCATACCAACGGTTAATTTTTACCCCGAGCACAAGTTTCAACACAGTTATCTACAATTAGTAACATTTGAGGAAATGTAACAGATAAACCGACTGCACACACACAAAAAGAGGGGAACACGAGGGGCAGGAAAAAAAGGACAAAACGTCCAGTGTGTTGGTTCTGTAGGATGGCGGACAACACAGCAGAAAGGGATTACGAGGACAGCATATGGCCTCTAGTCTACAGCACCGGCTCAGGGACACACACTTCACCGGAAGCCAAAACTGAGCCGTGAGCAGCGCTGGCGAAGGGGCCCGTTGGTCCCACGCAGCAGCGTGTGTGGCCGTCGCGGGGCTATCCACACTCGAGGCGCTCCGCTTTGAATTAACCAGAATCTCGGGTTCCCGGGAGGCCGGGGCCCTAGACACCCCACCCTCAGGCAGGCACACCCTAGTTCTTCCTGCAGGGCGGACGGCCTGACACATGCACCTGGACACACCTGTCCGGGATGGACAGCGCTCCGCAGAGCAGCGGCGGTGGAAAGGAAAAAATGGATGCTTAAGGGGATTGTAGGTGGGCAGGACGAGGACTCAAGCCAATTAAGCAAATAATTGAGTGCGGAGTCCCAAGGCTGCTGCGGCAGCGCAGACACACGCGATCCCTGCCCTCGTGGTGCGGCTCTCAAAATCACCGCGGAAACGCGAGCGCCCGGGGCGGGGAAGGGGGCGGGAGCCCCGCATTTCCCCCTCCCCGAGTCCCTCCAGGTCTCTGGAGTCGCCTGCCTTCCGACGCGGGGCGGCGGGGGTCGCAGGGAACCCCCCTCCATACCCAGCTAGGGCCTCCTCCGTGATCCCCGGCCCATGACGGTCCCCTTGGCTCTCACCGAATCCTTTAATGAGCTCGGTGAAGACCCCGGGGTCGCTTTCCATGAGGCACCACTCCCCGGCATTGCCCGTCATGGCCCCGGCCACACGCCGCCCCGCTCCACTTCGGACTCCGGCCGCCCCCGGCACCCGCTGCCGCCGGCCACTGATCTCGGCAAACCCGCCGCTGAGCACGTCAACCTCACGTCACCCGCCTACTTCCCGACAGCCTCTGGGCGCCGCCCCCCTGCAGCGCGACACAGCGCGGGAGGACGCTCTAGCCACTAAAGAAGCAGCGAAACTTCCGAAGCCGCGCAGCACCCGTAGCTAACGCGGAAGGGGCGGAGTCCAGGGCGGAAAAGGCGGGGCTTCAGGGTGCCCGAGGAGGTGACATCCGGGGCCCGCGCCAGTCCGAGGCGAGGGCGGGGCCAGGCGAAAGGGGCGGGGCTCATTCCCGGGAACCGAACCTGGCGGTTCAGGCCGTGGAGTCAGAGCAGTCGGGTCTTCCTCTTAGCGTTTTCCCGCGCTGCGCAGGGCTTCTTCCGGTGGCGCTGCGGGTCGGAGGGCCGCCAGCCAAGCACAGGTGAGGAAACCGCGGGAGGCCGCCTGGGGCCCTTTGTGCGGTCTGAGCGGCTCCGGGGACTCGCAGGGTCTGGCCGGACCTCCATGTCTCTCCGCATCCCAGTGGCCGAGGCCGAGCAAACCCTTCGCCAGACCATCCTGCTCCCCCTACCGCCTCCTTGCGGGGCGCAGGCCGGAAAGCGGGCCCGGCATCGCTGTGGGGACATCGTCGCTCGGCCGGGCCCGGGCGCCCTGCGGGTGGGCCCTTCCCGAAATCCGGGCCGCTGCCGCTCGCACTTGCAGAGCTCCCCAAAGGCGGGCGTCGGGAGGGCCTCCTTTACTCCTCCTCTTCCTCCTCCTCCCGCGGTCTCTGCGCCGAGAGGCGTTACCCGGAATCGGGGGTTCGGGAAGAAGGGTCTTTGTGGGGAAGACGAGGCGAATTTATCCTGGAGGGAGCGGGGCGAGCGTGCCCCGTAGCCCGTGGGGATGGTAGTCACGTGGAAGGGGATGCCTCAGAGGCTGAAGAACGGACTCCTGTGCAAGCGTTTGCAGTGGCTGCAAGACTAGAGAATGAGTGAAACCAAAAATGGCCCCTTTCGCGAAATCCCCCTCATTCAGCAGGCTCTTGCAGAGCACTCGTGTTACGATTAAAGCCTTTAAGAAAACGATATGTATCCATCATTCCGTAAAACCTCTTGAGTTCCGAAAAGAGACTTTGGCTTCCAGGAAAAAAAAAAATGTTGCAGTGGATAAAACTCGGGTCCCTTGCTTCTCGAACAGGTGACCTGTGTGTGTGGCCTGGAGTTGTAGAAAGCTTTGTGCTGTGGACTGCGGAAGCCACAAAATAAATATCCATTTTACAGAGAAACAACAGAACAGCTTTTCTGTTACAACAAGCTATATTATGGAGTAGAAGGCAAAATTTGTATGGAAGTGTTTGGTTAAAAAAAAAAAAAAAGAATTGAAACTTGCATGGTTTGGCCCTGGGAGAGTCGGCCCTCAAGCTGGGGGCGTCAGTCCACTTTCTGCCTTGCTGAGGGTACTTAAATGGGAAAGTGTGCGAAGCACAGGGGCCTCGCCTTATATCCTTAGGAACCATACCTGGAGTGTTGTCAGAGCCTAAAGCTGTTGGTGGTCACGTGGGGTATTTTTAAATCTGTAATACTGCCCTGAACTTGGAAGTTTTCTGCGCTAAATAAATACATCAAAACTAACATTTATTTGACGACCAACTTAACATGGTGCATATTGTAGAACGATCCCACTGAACATTGAGCTCTTGACACAGGCTTGAAGTAATCAGAAAAGGAGGGGGGAGAGGGGTTACAATTTCGTTATGTTAACGTTTCAGCCTAAGAGTTCACATAAAAATCCAGATTTCTGGGTCTTTGAGAGCAATGGAGAGCATCTTGCAATACTAGGCAACAACCAGTTTGAAGGCGCATGCCTTCAGGATGGCATGCTGTCATTTTTGCCACAGTTCTCGCCACTTTTCATTCCGTCACACTTGACTTGAACCACTCGTGGTCATTACCAGTCCGAATGATAGTTATTTGAATTTGTGCCCCCCCCTTTTTTTTTTTTTGGTATTGTTTCTTTTAAACTGTCTCGCGTGCTTTTATAGATGTCAGTAAGCTTTGACTTCATTTAAAAACGAATAAGCTACCAACTTGTTAAGACCTCTTGGGTAAAAAGTAGCATTTTCAAATAACAGATGATCAAGAGATTTTGGAAAGATTTTCATCTGTGTATATTCAAGAAAAACTTAGTACATTCTTGAATTAATGAATTATTTCTTAGAAATAATGTATTATTAGTACTGTTAAAAGATATAAATGTTCTCATTCTAATTAAAGCACAGCAGAAAAAAGGGCTATTTCATATTATCTATTACTAGTGTTCACTGATTTTGCATTCAGAGTTAAGAAGTGGGCAGTGCATACAATATCCACTACCAATTTCAAACTGGCCATACTTTTAATAATGAGATCTGTTTAATTTCTTTCCAAAATTTTAAATTATACAGTTTAATACAACGTTAGCTGTAGTAAATTCCTTGGAGTGGTGTGCTTCAAGAGCACTGGATAGGGCAGGCCAACCCAAACAAGTATTAAGTGTCGTTTGTTGCTGTGAATCGGGATTTACAAGACTTGATCAGTGGATTAACTGATGACCAGGCTCTGACCTCACTCGCTGCCCAGCTGCCTTCTAAACCCCTGACCATGAAGTTGAAGCAAAAGGCGGGAGATGATGGCAGAGGGGGAAAATAAGGTCCTGTATATGTCTGTGTGTTACCTCAAATTGCTTTCTAAAGACAAATACAAAAAAGTAGGGTTTAATATCATTTAAATGCTTATTCATTTAAATAACTCCCCAAATATATTTCACCTAACCAATTTTTAATTTTTATTTTTTTAATAACCGATTTTTGAGGTAGTATTCGCACATTATGAAATTCACTATTTTTAATGTATCAACTTCAGTGGGATTTTTTGGTACATTCACAGAGTTGTGTGACCGCCATCTATCTAATTTCAGAACATTTTCATCAACCCAAAAAGAAACCCCTTACCACTTTGGAAAACCGTCTGGCAGTTCTTCAAAAGATTAAATACAGAGTTACTATATGATCCTTCATTTTACATTCCCGCTAGCAGTGTATGAGGTTCTAGTTTCTCCAAATTCTTACTGACACTGATTATTATTTTCATTTTGAGTATAGCCATCTTAATGGGTGCGGAGTGGTAGCTCATTGAAGTTTTGATTTGCATTTCCCTGATGACTATGATATTAGCCATCTTTTTTTGTGTGTTTATTAACCATTTGTGTATCTTCTTTGAAGAAATGCCTATTCGTATGCTTTGCCTATTTTTTATGTTGGGTTATTATTTTATTATTGAGTTCTCAGTCCTTTATATACTCTAGATATAAGTTCCTTATCATATATATGATTTGCAAATATTTTATCCCATTTCATGTGATGTCTTTTCATTTTCTAGGTGCACTGTCCTTTGAAAGACAAATTTTCAATTTTAATGAAGTCCAGTTTATTTTTTTCTTTTGTTTTTTTTCACTTGTATCTTTGGTGTCTGTGTTTTGACACCAATTCTCTAGATCAACTCAGTTTTCTACAATTCATTTCAACTCAATTCCAGAGTTAGCATCAGATCCTACAAGTTTTTTTATAAAGGCAACATCCAACAAGACCCCTTACCTCAGACACCAGCTGCAAGTAGGTTCCTCAATCTCCCCACTTCTGCCTGGCCAACTGCAAGTTCAGGGCTTCCCCAAACCCCTCACTGTCAATAGAATGACTCACATAATGCCCTAAAAATGCCGTCCTTATAGTTTTATCGTGAAGGATCTGACTCAGGAACAGCCAAATGGCAAAGTCCGGAGGCAAGGGAGGGATCACCCTCCCAGCACGTCAGTCGTTCACCAACCGTAATAGGAAGCTCCACTGAACTTGGAGGTCCAGAGTTTGTATTTGGGGTCTCATTGCCAGCATGACTGATCAGATCATTGACCTTGTGGTTGAGTTCAAGCCACCTGGGAGGTTGATCTAGTGCAGATGTCCAGCCCTCTAGCAAAGACTGGTCTTCCTGTAGGCCAACCCCTATCCTAAAGCTATGGAAAGGCCCAGGATGAGTGGCCTCTATAGCATAACAAAGACTATCAGGAAATTCTAGGGTGTTTTTAAGTTCTGCTGAGAACCATTTATAAAGACCAGATATTATTTATAATACTACTGTGTCTTATCACCTAGCCAATTTTAAAGTCCATTTGTATATCAGCACTCAGTGATAAGAAGAGTAGCTTGGAACATGCTGTCATTTTGGTTTTTTCCTATTTCACTTCACAAATTTGACTGGTAAATTTACACAAGTAGAGGTGGGGTTTGACCTGTTCCACTGTCTTACAATGGACCCTGGAAGGTACTGTCACAGAGCATATGGAAAGCCGGGCAGTTCTGCAGAAATACTGGAAGTGTATGTCCTCGCGGTTATTAATATACGAAGGGAAGATTTTATTGCTACAGCTATGCATAAGCAGCTAACTTCATTTCTTTTAATAGGGATTACATTAAGGGATTTCTCTCTCAAACATCCTCCATAGATTTAAAAGTTCGTTTTGTGGCTTGCTCTAGAAAAGATAATTGAATACCGAACATTAGATGTATTACAAAAACTTACAGAGAAATACTTTTCTCAGATGACATTTTTACTCAGTTCTCATTGCTTTTTCTTTGTAACTTTTTATGTTTTCTTTTTCTTGATTGTATTTCCAGTACCTGCATATAGTACTTTTATTATTTTACTCTGATTATAGAATTTATCTTAAAGGCTTGAATTATGTTTTTAATCGCTCATGTTGAGACTTAATTTTCAAAATACATGTATTATAGGAAAGGAAACCAATTATGTATAATTCCTAGACAAATGGTTCAGAAAATCAACTTTAACGCTGTTTAGTTAAATATTATTAATTACTTAAAAGTGGTGTTTTAGATACGGAGGAGGGATACACAAATGAGGCCTGGCCCCTGCTTTCAAGGGAACTGAGGAAGTTAGCTCGATATGTTCACAAATACAGGAGAAAGGATTTGGAAGGGAGGAAGTTTTGAGGATTGAATTGAGCCCTTCGAACCTCTCCACTTGGGCCTTGATACAGGAAAGCTGGTGTAGTAGAATAACCTGATACTGAATATCATTTCAATATTATCCATCTAACGAATAGAACTAATAAGCAGTAACAGCCGAATTGAGGTACCACCAGGGAGTGTTTTTGTAAAAGCTAAAGGAGAGGCTGGCAATGTCAAGTACAGTGTAAAGATCAAAATAATATGAAATGTTCTACTGGAATTAGCAGTTAAGGTATCGATCTTCCAGTCTTGTCAGTCTTTCCAAAGTTTTCCGGATTGAAAAGCGGAGGTAAACGCCGTATTGAAAAGGGGGTGGGAATAAACCAGAGAAGCAGCGCCATCCCCTGTGCTGCACTCAGGAGCTGTCAGCCAGCCCCAGT